GCAAAGCCTTCCGTACATAGCACAAATAGCAGGGGAGACAGAGGGTCCCCTTGTCGAAGCCCCCGGGAAGGCGAGAAAAATCCTGACGGGGACCCATTCATCAGGACAGAGAAAGATGTTGAGCGAAGACATTCATGGATCCATCCTATCCAGACGGAATTGAAACCCATTTTCTCCAGGACTGCGAGCAAGAAGGGCCATTCAACTCTATCATAGGCCTTTTCCATGTCAACCTTTAGAGCCATGTACCCTTTCTTACCACGTGTCTTGATTTTCAAATAGTGCATCAATTCATGACCAACCAAGATATTCTCAATGATTTGCCTTTCGCGAATGAAAGCATTCTGTCCATCAGAAATAATTCTCGGTAGAATATCAGCTAGCCTAGCAGCCATGATTTTAGTAATTATTTTGTACACAAATTGACACAGGCTGATAGGCGGCAATTGCCTCATATTTTCCACATTATCCACCTTGGGTATCAATGCAAGCCACGTATGATTGAAGCTTCGAAGCATTCTACCCGTGGCAAAGAATGAACAAACAACCTCAATCACCGAATCGCCTACGATATCCCAAAAGGCTTTGAAAAATTTTCCCGTAAATCCATCCGAGCCAGGAGCCTGTTTGGAACCCATTGCAAACACCGTCCTACGAACCTCCTGAGGCATAACCTATGCCGTTAGCATATCATTCATCTCTTGGTTTACATTCCGAGCAATAGGAAGACCTGCCACACGCTCTGCCACATTTATCACTTGATTTTCCGAAGTGAAAAGATGTTGGTAAAACTGACAGGCGATGTCCGCCTTCCCTTTCTCTTCAGTAACCCACTCTCCATTCTCATTATATAGACCAGCAACATAATTTCTTTTCCAACGAGTTCTTGTGACGATGTGGAAGTAGGAGGTGTTATTATCACCTTTCTTCAGCCAATGCACCCTCGATTTTTGTTGCCAATACACCTCCTCTGCTTCCCATTGGCGAGTCAGCTCTGTTTTTAGGATCTTAACCTCCTCCCAATTGATGGGGTGCTGAGATTTGATACGATCAATCTCAACTTGGAGAGTCTTGATATTGCGCAGCGAGTTGGTGGTCCCAGCCCTACTCCAATCATAGAGAAGGTGTCTCAAATGCTTAAGTTTCTCCCAGAGTTGATACATCGGGGTCCCAGAGATTTGCTCTTGCCATACATACCTCACCATTGCCCTAACTTCCGGGTTGTCCGCCCATCGGGCATCAAACCTGAAAAGGGGCCGACTTTGTCGAACAAAGGGTTTGTCCGCAAGGAGAAGTGCCCGATGATCCGAATGTTGAATTTTTTATTTAATCCGGCCGGCCGGACCTTAATCTAGTAATGGTTTTCGGATTATGGAATGGTAGCTAGAGCTAGAAATAAGGCAGCACATACGTAAGGTTTATTTAGGGCTAATTCCACTAGAAAGCCCAAACTATCCAAAAAGTGTAATTTGTGGGCTAAATTATTCAATATAACAAATCTGGCCCATGAATTTGTTGAAATGTATTTGAAGTTGACAAGTAATACACTAAATATGTATTTGGAAATCACGCCATGAATTTAACACAAATCCAAATACCAAATTTAATTGATATCCAAAAAAATTATTTAACATTTAAAAATCCAAATTACAGTTACCAAATCCAAATTCTTCTATCCAAACTAACCCAAACAGTAAAATTGATTTAGCTTTATATATACTAACTTACTTATTACCCCCTCAACATGTCGAAGAGTCTTTTTTTTTTATTCGAAGAGTCATTTAAAAAAAAAAACATATCGAAGAGTTAGGTGGATTTTTTATTATCATACCTACGTCAGGGGAAATTTCTTGTTATATTTTATATTAAAGAGTAGAGGAGGAAAGAAAAGGCAACATGACTACATGAGGAAAAAGTAATCATGACGCCAAGCTTGAGGTGATAGCATAGTTGTCATGCCGGCCGATAGGTTTAACCGGTATCGGTTATGAAACCGGCATGACACCACCGATATGACCGGCATGATCGATCTACCAATTTTTAAATAAAATGATCTCATTTTAGTAAATTTGAATATGAGTACATGTAATTTTATTTGAAATATCACATTTTATTTAAATATCAATATGAATTGTACGTAAATTGTCTTCAAATATGGTTTATATATGATTAGATTCATTTGACATTAATGGTTTTTGACATTTCTACATATTTTATTAACTGGTATGAACCGGCACAAACCGGTTGTACCACTGGTAGAATCATTCCATTTGGTAAACCGACGCAACGGTATAAAACGGTTTGACAACCTTGAGTGATAGATAGTCTCGTTCCAAATTCCAATGTTTGACATATAACACAATATTTGATAATGTCCTTTTTGATGATGTTGATATCATTCTATTAATTAAGATAAACTATCAAAGGAAACACAGATAAGTAGGCATTACCAATCTATTTTGGTCACTGTTATATTGTTGGCTAAGCGAATTATTTTGTTTTGACTTATGTTTCAACAATGATATTGCTTATTGCACCAATATGCTACTTATTCAACGGGAATTGTATTACCTATTGCACCAATAAATGTATGTTATGTTTATAGGCACAAAAACATAATTGTAATGAGAAAAAAAAACATTTGTACACAAATTCAAATGTAAAATGAAAATTACTTTTGGCAATATATATAGCTCATCATCCTCCTGCGAGCCCTTTTACTATGCTATAAAGTATTAATGCTTTAATGTACAACTTGAAGTTGTACCATAACATTAAATGTATAAGTTTAAGTTGTACCATAAAGGAATTTGTACCCTTATGTTATGGTACAACTTTACAAGTTGAAGTTGTCCCATCACATAAAGGTACAAGTTCAAGTTGTACCAATAAGAATATGTACAAAACAGTGTAGGTATAATCTATAATTGTACCATAACATTGAATGTACAATTTCAAGTTGTACCATAAAAGTAAGAACTTATAGCACCAATACTATATAGTATTGTAAAATTCCTCCTGCGCACATCCCAAACAGCAACATCTATACTTGTCACTTGTTCTTCGCCCAGGCTCATCATCCCCATTGCATACTTTGACAATATATATAGCTCATCGTCAGCCCTTTGTCATTGGTGTGCACCATAGGCACACTGGCCAGCCTCACCAAAATTGGAATCTTTGAACTGCTCCTGCATGTATTAATATGTTGGCAGTCAGTGGCGGACCCAGGATTATTAGATAGGTGTGTCGTCTGATAAAAATAAGTTGAAAATAAAAATTAATTTTAATTATTAAACATAAAAATAAAAATATTATTCATAAAATTCACAAGATGATATGTTTGTTAACATCATATCAGAGCCACGGCCGGTCTGTACTTACAGCGGAAGGAGTCGCGTCGTCGTCGTTTTCTCGTGCAGGCTGAGGAACCTCGTGATTTGACGACAACCCACCATCTTCTTCTGATGACGAACCACAACTTCTCCCCATCTTATGCTCCTAGTTCCAATCGCTACGCACATCATCACAATGCCATGATGACCATCATCGTTTCGGTCTTCTTCCTCCTGTGTGATAACGAACATACCACTTAACTCGAGTGGTTGGGAAATAGTTTGTATGTATGAATGTTCATCTCTTACACTTCCCTTCAAAAGAAAGGTGGTGAGTTTTTTTTAGTTTGCACATATTGAACATATCGTGCTTTACTAAATCACTAGGCTTTCAGTGTACACAGATTGAACATATCGTCTTTTGTGCTAAACCATTTGCTCATAATAGTGGTCGTCATAAGAATTCGAAACCATGACCTCTGATATGATGTTAATTAACAAACAGATCACTTAGTCTCAATAACAAGAATTGTTGGGGAAGAATTTTGTTTGAGCTTTGATCTCTTACATCATGACGCATCATATGGTTGACTCTCCGCCGCATGTTCTCTGCTATCTTCTCCACCATAACAGCTTCGGAACTGCATGCACACAATAGTGGGATTCAAACAAAGACTTACATGTGTTTTGCTTCGTGGATTTTTTAGAAATGAGGGTCTCTAAAACTTTAGGGAGCCTTTGGAAGTTGTGATTGTTAGAGCTGTGTTTGTTGAATACATGTATTGTGCACAATACAATGTTTGGAAGTGCCAAAGTGTTAAACAATGCATGCATTGTTTTAGGTAGGTCTCACCAACAATCACAAAAAATGATGCATTATACAATCTCAACTAAAAGTTGAGATTGTTGTGATTGTTGGTTTTAGATTTGTGTCAACTTTTTCTTTCCATTTATATCCCCAATAGTTTTTGTCTTATTCTAAAAGTTGAGGGTAAATGTGACATTTCTCCATAAAAAGTAACTTTATGTAAATTAATGCATAAAGTAGAATCTCAACAACCAAACAATGTATTGTTAAAATGCATCCATTGTATCAATACATGCATTTATATTATAGTGATTCATTATAATGAAAACGATTTAACACTCGCAACTTCCAAACGATCCCTTAGTTTTTTTTTAAATCATGGATATATGAGGGTTTTGGGTTCATTATAGACCTGAAAAATAACATTGTCTGTTTCATAAATTCCATGATGGATTTGGTTAATTAGATTTCTGTATGTATGAAGTGAAATTGAAATATATTTTATATGTCGTCCTCGTTGGAATGAGAAGAGAAAGGAAATAAAAAGGGCAAATTGGCCAGGCCATGAATGTCCACGATCAATTGCCACATAAAATGATGAAACTTTCAAGTTCGTCGGCCCCATGGAATTTGGACCCTCAAAATCCATGGAGCCCACGGATTCGTTTGCGCCTAAACATATCAAGTAAACAATGGAGTTTGGATAGACTCCATAATGAATCCAAATCCATCAAGCAAACACTAACCCGTATAGTGAAGCAAATAGCAGCCGAAAACTGGAAGGAAAACAACGGAGTCAGCTACTGGAGAATTGAAGCAATAATACACACATATAAGAATATGTTGATAGTTTTGAATTACGTGTGATCGGTGATAACCCATCCCGAGATATGGGAAATGGAGCGGAGAGCGTGGATCCAGCCATTCACCCTCTCGTAGCTGTACTTCCTCTTGTGGCGGTCCAAGTCGGCCTTGTAAACCCCAGACGACGCCGGATCGGCCACGTCGTCGTCCGGGGAGACTCTGTAGAACACGGGGAAAGCCTGGTGGCCGTTCTCCTCCCTGCACCGCATGATCTTGACCAGCTCGTCGAGGCAGTACTCCGACGAGGCGTAGCCTCCGGACAGCACGACGATGGACAGCATGGACCCCTCGATGGCGCGTGAGATGGCCTCCGTGACGTTCTCGCCGCGGGGGAGGTCGTGGTCGTCGCGGAAGACGTTGATTCGTTTGCTGCGGCGGAGGGCGGCGTCGAGGTGGTCGGTGAACTTGTGGCGGCCGTCGGGACCCCGGTGGCTGAGGAAGATGTGGTGGCGCCACGGCGGGCCAGGAGGACGAGCGGGAGACCCGTTGGCAGGGCAGACAGCGCCGAGACAGAGGAGGAGGAGGATGAGAACTCGTGAAACCATTCGTACGGACGTCGTTTGCAGGCAAAGAGAAGGATGTTGCAACGCACGAAATCTTGATGACTTTGCTTTTCTTTATTGCACACTACTTGCTCAGAAAAAAAAAAAAAAAACACTACTGGCTTTTATACCCGGGACAAACAATTCATATGTTTAATTAAATTAATTAATTCTGATTTCCCGCATTCTGCTCAACCGATTGCGATTAGGTGTATATTATGGTGAGAAAAAAAAATCATAACTAAAAGAATAAAAGAAAAAGACCTCGGATAGTTGCCGGGAGAAGTTGACCGAGCGAGAAATCCCTTAATAAAGACTAGCTTTGGTCCCGGCCATTGGCCGGGTGAATTTCATTTGAATATTTGATTAATTTAAAAGAAAAGAAATTTTGTTCACTCTCATTAATCTTATGAATATATAACCCTTGTATTAAATAACTTGTTGTCATACTTAATTATTTTTATACATTTTAAATAATATTTTTTATTTATTTAAGACCCGAATGTATGATTTGAGAGGTTGACTCGTACATGCAAAGTTAATTCTGTTCCTACAGAGACACCTAGGAAATTGGAACGATATAAGATAATTTTCAAGTGAAAACATTCAATTCGGAATTGAGAGATATTAACTCTTGGGCCTTGGCTAAATGTATAGCATAATCTTACAAAATTTCAAAGTTTGTCACTATACTCATTACGTTTCATTCATCCAATTTTGAATCATGTGGGGACAAAAAATTTACTAAAAAAATTATTTTCAAATGGGGTTTTATGAAGTCTCGGTGCATAATCTATATGAAAATTTGTCTAAAAACCATTCAAAATAAATATCTAAATAGTATATATCATTCCGTTACTTCCGATATTTAGACTACATGCAACTAATGTCTACAATATTTGAACTGAGTCTCACACAAAATACTCAAAATTATTAATATTATGCAATATATACTACAAATTGCTAGTGCATAAGAAATATAACTAAATTTATTTTTAAATTTTTGTTCGCATTTTAAATTTCCTTTGTTATAATTAACACTGTGTCAATTATGTATGATTGAAAGATGAAATATATACAACAACACTTTTTTAGATGGTAAGTGGTAACAAACATAACTGTGATATCTAAAAGACAAACAAATGCATTTAAGAAAAAGAAAACATGCAAAGGAAAAAAAGTGAAACAAAATTGACGGTAATATTATGCAATATATACTACAAATTGCTAGTGCATAAGAAATATAACTAAATTTATTTTTAAATTTTTGTTCGCATTTTAAATTTCCTTTGTTATAATTAACACCGTGTCAATTATGTATAATTGAAATATGAAATATATACAACAACACTTTTTTTAGATGGTAAGTGGTAACAAACATAACTGTGATATCTAAAAGACAAACAAATGCATTTAAGAAAAAGAAAACATTCAAAGGAAAAAAAGTGAAAGAAAATTAACGGTTCAGTAAAATTGTAAAAAAGGAAAACAGGAACCGAAAAATTCGGGGAAGAGTTCACGGAGGGATATATTTTTTTGGTTGGGTTTTTTTGTTAAAAGGAATTTGATTGGTTGATAGATTATGATGACGTGGATGAATGAGGGAACAGGGAATTTGAAGTTGTGAAGTCCTTAATGAGAAACCCTTTAATATATTCTTTAGATTAGAGATAGAGATGAAGATAAGTCAAATTGACAGTTTATGTGGCCACTTATATGCGTCAGCGTCATGCGGGCGATTGGGAGGCAAAAGTGGAATGTATTTGCGTGCAGGCAGCCGTGTACCTCCAAATCGTCGGTTCTATTTTAAAATGTTTAAGTGTTTCGTTAGTTGATTAATTAAATTATTGCTTTCCCTGCATAGATTGCGGGTCAATGGGTATTTAAAAAACCTCGAATGGAGCTCGCTGCTCAAAAATCAGCTTTTTGATCAATGCCCTGAAGCCGTAACGATGATGTCAACGGAATTACATGTAAGCGCTGCACCGGTGAACATGTAATACACATTTGCTCTCGCCTTAACCGGAGAAACAAATGTCATACAATAAATTTTAATAATCAAACTTTTTAAATTAAAAAAAAAAACCCTGTGTTTCTTGCAAAGAAATAGCCAATTCTTCCGTCGAGTTACAAATGCATCACCATTTTCCGATGACATTGACGGAATTACATGCAATGGTGGCTATACGGTCCAGTCCGGTTAAATTGGTCCGAATTCATCCAGTCCCAGTCCGGCCTTTTCGAGAATATAATGATCGAAAATTGAATTGAATACAGTCCGGTCTTGATCCGGTCCGGTCTTGATCCGGTCCGGTCTTGACCCAATCCGGTCCCAATTCGGTCTTGATTTTAGATTGAATTTGTGGGGATTTGAGTTGCCCGAGGACTCAAAGGGTGAGGAGTTGGTTAAGTTTTAGGTGTTGAGTTTTCTTATCCGGTCTTTATCCGGTTTTCGATCCGATCCCAAAGGACACAAACGGTTTTTTACCTCAAATTTAAGCCCGAAAATTGGATTGTATTGTTTACTATCCGGTCCCGATCCGGATTATACGGTCCGATTTTGGATAAAACCAAATAACACGGACCAAATAGCCAGCCCTACATATATATATATATATATATATATATATATATATATATATATATATATATATATATATATAAGTTCTTTGTGAGCTCCAATTCACATGGATCGAGTTTATCAAAGTAACAATATTGAACAATGAATTGGTCGAACCAAAAGGAACTAAGAACAATCATGCGGCCACGAGGATGGAAGAAGATAGAGTATAAAACTCAAAACTACAAAATCACTACAAAATATAATCTGGATTTATTTTAATCACATCTAAGGAATCAAATTAATAACCTAACCCAAACCGGCAAAGATTGCTCTAGCCAGGAAAATACCTTAGTGGATCCAAATAATAAATATTAAATAAAACATTATTTATCATATAGATACTCTGCTCATCGAAGTCAGCGGTTTGCCGGTGAAACAAGAAGCAGCATCCATCCCTAAAAAAGGCAGCATCCGTTATATCTGTGATCGTTATGTCTCTTTGTTTATTAGAATTGACTTTGGGCCGCCGGGCTGCCGCTTAGTATATAATTATATATCATTTTACCTGAATCCCCCAAAATTAACCCAAAAAGGACGTAATAAAGGGGTCGTTTGGCTGGCATGTTCCGATGGATCAATTTTACCTAATTAAATTCAAGTGAAATCTCTTAGTAATATGTTTTTGCCGGGAGAGAAGTTCTGTGGAGCTGTAACGGTCAGGTACTGATCTTGTTACAACTTTTTTTTTTTTAAAGATTATATCGGTTCCATTGTGAGTTGAAGTTTTTTTTTTTAATAGAAATATAATATTAATCTTACTTTTCAAAATAACAATTACTTTCATATATTTTGGAACAAAAATAGTGGAGACATACTACTGGCCGACAAACAATCATGCAAAAAGTCTTGAAACATTATGTGACAATAAACAATCGTCGCTGAAAGTCTCAAACATTCAGCGGCAGACATTCGTTGCAAAAAAGTCCCAAACATTCTGCAGAATCGGAGGCACCTCGACCTTCTAAATTGCTCTCTTCTTCAATAGAACCATATATCGCTTCCCAAGTAAAGCATATGCGAGAGACCATAGGCAAATACGATTCTGGCCTAAGGGCTAGGTAAATTTGGCTATGTTCTTAAACTGATCAAATTATGGCATCGTTGTCAAGGATTACATCTGGCAAAATTTTGGAAAAGGGGCCAGTCACACATTCTATTTTCATCTTCTAATTATGTTTCTATATTTCTCCTCGTGCTGAAATTCCTTATGACTGGAACAAAAAAACAAGACATTTATTGTCTATAGCGTGGTGGTAATGCTTGGTATTACATAAGATCACTCCACGTTAGTACGAAAGTACACCATGGTGGTATGAACATCACATAGTGTAGAATAGTTGAATACATGATAGAAGGAATATACGAACTGTCATTTACCATGTTCATCATTGTTTATCATTAGTTACCACCCCTATACCAAGGTGGTATGGAGTGGTACAATGGATTTTTTACTGAAATTTGTAGATCCAATGGATCACGATGAACTCATTCCTTCTTTGTAAAAGTTTTCAAAATTCGAGTTAAAAATGAAGGTGGTACCAAGTGATAAGTGGTATGGAAATATTTCTTAAAAACATTTAATACGAATCTCATTTTGTAGATCACAACAAACTGGTTCCATTTGTGCAGAAAATTTCAAATCCAAGTTACGGAAAGCAAATCAGATTTTAGTTGAAGGAAATAGACCCAAGTATATCTTGTGGCATGGCCAACAAATAGGGCAAAGTATTTATACCCATGACGAGACGTGGTAGGACTAGGACCCCATAAGTCTGTGTGAACCAAATAAAACGGATCCGTAATAACGGTGGGTATTCTGACTCGGACTATGCTGGAGATGTTGACACGAGGAGATCGATGACCGGTTATGTATTCACTCTTGGGAGTTCTGTAGTGAGCTGGAAGGCAACTTTGCAGTCGGGGGTGACATTGTCTACTACTAAGGCAGAGTATATGGCGTTGACAGAAGCTGCTAAGGAGGGAATATGGTTGAAGGGACTGGTTGGTGATCTTGGTCTACATCATGATCCGGCAGTGGTGTATTGCGACAGTTTGAGTGCAATATGCTTGGCCAAGGATCAAGTCTACCATGAGAGGATTAAGCACATCGATGTGAGGTATCATTTCTTGAGGACAGATAAGAGGATTAAGGTGAAGAAGGTTGGCACCGCGGATAATCCTGCTGATATGTTCACGAAGCCGGTTCCATATGGCAAGTTCCAACACTGCTTGGACTTGCTGAATGTCTTGAGTGGGTGACTCCGCCCTGCGGGGCATTGATGGCGGGAGAGAGAGAGAAGGAGCAGAGTACATCAGAGGTTTCAGAGGAAGAGGATTCAAGTCAAGGTGGAGATTTGTTGATGTGACTTGAATTGGACTA